AATCACCATTTGTTACAAACTTTTTTCCACACACTGCACATTTGTAAGGTTTCTCCCCAGTGTGTATTCTGTGATGTTTTGTTAAATCACCATTTGTTACAAACTTTTTTCCACACACTGCACATTTGTAAGGTTTCTCCCCAGTGTGTATTCTGTGATGTTTTGTTAAATCACCATTTGTTACAAACTTTTTTCCACACACTGTACAACTGTAAGGTTTCTCCCCAGTGTGTGTTCTTTGATGCGTTTTTAAGCTATTATTTGTAACAAAGTATTTTCCACACACTGTACAACAATAAGGTTTGTCACCAGTGTGTATTCTTTGATGTCGTCTTAAGTGACTATTTGTACCAAACTGTTTTTCACACACTACACAACTGTAAGGTTTCTCCCCAGTGTGTATTCTTTGATGTATTTTTAAGGTACTACTTGTACCAAACTGTTTTCCACAAACTGTACAGTGATATGGTTTCTCTCCTGAGTGCATCCTCTTTTGTTGTTTTAGGTTATCAAATGGTTTTCCACAACTGTATAATGTATCATCACACTGATGTATATTAAATGTTGTTAGGTTATTTCCACTTAACTTTGTTTCTCCACTAATATTGTTTGGGGATTTTAAGTCTTCTGTAAAGTGATCTTCTTGTTTTATAACGTAATCAGTAGACTGACTTCCACAATAGATGTTCACACTGGTCTTTATATCTAAAACAGATATAAAAGATATCCCATATTAGTTAAAAATAAATATACAATACAATACTTTATTTGAATAACATCTAAATATATTTCAATGTTCTAATATAATCAACTCAAATAGCAATAAAGAAAAGATAAAACTTAGTTTAACATTTTATGAAAACTTTTCTACCTAGATCAGAATAGCATTGAAAACATACTGTTGGTAATGTACCACATTCAAGAGACATTTTTAGTAGATAAAATTTAAAATCACCAGTAGAAATATAATGGAACAGTGTAACATCAACCAATGTTACTTTCAGCCAGTACCTTTCTGGAACCACTGTTAGATATATTCTAACTTGAAGTGGTCAATTATGATGAAATCTTCAAATGATTTGTCTACCTCAACACATTAATTAACATCAATAATTTACAGTTTCTCTTGAAAAGTTCTGTATGTGTTGAATAAATATTTACAAATGCCAAGATTTAGACTAAACCAAAATGTGGTTTTTAAGTCTACAAGTACAGTTTAACACCAACCAATGTGGTATACAAGTACAGTAAAGCTTTAGAGGCTCTAATGCCATAGATAGAAAGCAAGATAAATTTGTGTCTTATTTTTCTGTGTTCTTAGGTGCATTATTTAGTGTGTTTTCTTGAAGCAAAACCACATCAGGCATTCTTTATGAGTGACTTACAACTACTATGGCAGGATTACTAGTTAGATATAGGTGAAAGGACAATAAAATAATAAAATTAGGTATAAATAGATGTATACAGTTAGAAGCTATAAGCTATTTAACATAAACAAATTGTAGTTTCATGTAACAACTTCTAGCTATTCTATAAAGAAAAAAATGGTAAATTACATTTATTTGGTATTTTTTATCACTGTTACAAGGTCTTTGAAAATGGCAGATTGTGTATAGAGTTAGGGTAAATATAATAATAGATAAAATACAGTTTTAATGAGAAAAACATTTGATATTTATTTAGGATATTTTAGAGATTACTGAAACGAAAATTGACAATTTTAAAATGAAAAAAGTATTTTTAATCTTAACAAAAAAATCACTTTGAATTTCGAGTAGTCAATACTCTGACTCCATATAGTCATAGACAAATTATCAATAAAAATACCTTATTAAAAAATCTGATTTTTTGTGTACAAAGGACTTGTAATGTTTACTCAAAGCTTGCTAAATTTCCTGAAGATATAAAAACAGATTAAAAGTTATAGTATGGAAACTCTTTGGTTGCTTTAAGGATACAAAGTTAGTCATATCGACTGTAGCAAATGTTAAATCAGTGTCAATGAATACAAGATTTAGGTGAAGTATGAACTTACCAGATGTTCTTTCTAAACCAGATTCAAAATCTCTTTGATATTCAGTTTCTGTTTTCACATTCATAACATTATAGTGTGAATTATCCTGATCCTCATCATCACTGTAACTGAACTTTGAAATAACATCATCTTGTAGCAGATCACCAGGATGTTCCATTTTCACTTGAACAGATATGTTCTAAAATCAAACAACATTTGAAAGGGTTAACAGAATTAACAACTACTGTTATCATTACATATAGACTCCACAGTTTACTAACTTAAAACATGAATATATATAATTAATAAACCTAGCTTTTCAAAGTTAGTTATGCAGTAATAAAAGTATATAAACACAACATTTTTTTATGTCTGATTCGGTAAGAAAATAAGAGAAAACATTCACAGAAATGGAGTTTCATTTCTATTACTTGTAGTTCCATAGTTTACTGAACAGTAAGACAAGAAATTATTTTACATCTAAAAACAACTTTCTTATTTACCCAAATTAAAAGTAAAAATATTGAACTTCTGCAGCAAAGCATCATGGGTATTTACAGAAAACATTGGGTACTAAAGAGTAATAAAAATAAGGAAATGATAGACCTTCACCACCTTCAGTTTCCTAAGATGGAAAAGAAAACAAGGAGGATGAACATTGCTCTTTTCTAACCATGTGCTATTACACACAGCACCAAATGTCTCTATACTTCACACACACACACACACACACACACACACATATATATATATTATATTTTGTTCCAAAAATAAAACTGGTGGATGAAACTTATTAAAATTTAACAAAAACGTTCCTAAAGTTTGTAGTTTCAAAAAAACAAAATATTTAATTTATATTTTTTCTACTATTTCTAATAAAACATTTCATTATTTATTGTAGTTATCTGCAGTTGGACTATGAATAGTTCACCTGCAAGGTGATTTTTATATGAAATATAAAACCTCTATTTATTATCTTACAGTTTCACATTTCCTTTGCATAATAATCAGAACCTCCTATATTAATATCAAAAGTTTTCAAGATAAATGTATATATCTTATTTTTCATTTTCTCTACTATATCACAAATTCCACCTATTATTGTCAACATACAATGCAATTAAATGTTTAAAATTAAGAAATGGGAATATGTACAAACCTTTTAGCTCCTTGTAGAAGTCCCTTGAAACTTGATTTTTTAATGTTTATAATTTCACATCTTTATCTTTTCACTTAGTTTATTTTTAAATTTTCCTTTCCATTTTTTTGTCTTCTATTATCTATGTCAACTGGTCCCCTTGGTGCTTTATTATTATTATTATACCACGACACACACACACAGGTACCCGTTTCACTAATGCATTGCAAACACAAATTACGCCATCTTGTTTAGTCACTTTCACAATCTTATAGAAATCATTAAAACTTTCAAATATGATTTTAAAACACAAATAATACATAATTAACTAAAATACAATAGTAAGACCTAAATACAATTTAAATATCTCTCTAACTATAGCACATTTAGGTAAGAAACCACTGTAAGTGCTATAGTTGATCAAGTAGACAACTATACTAACAGCAGTTACATGTACACTGTGATGAAAAGTGCTCTCCAATTTCAAATTAACCATTGGTGAAGTATAGTGTAAACTGAGCTTTTTCTAATGTATATGTTCACTTGTGTCTCCTAATTTCATGTACACTGTATATCTCATGACAAAGTATCGAAGGTGGGCATGGCATCCATTAAGGGTTGGAAAACTTATAGCTGTTTCCCAGACAAAACAGCTTGCAGACTTTAGATATCACACGTCAATGTAGGTCAAACATGTGTAGTTTATGTATACATACACATGTAGACTGCCAGCTTATGTGACGAATGTCTTCCCAGATTGTGGTCTGAAGCTGAATCAGGTGGTCCACAGTAAAATGCTATTTCCAGAAACCACACTAGGTGGGAAAGAGGACATTGTTAAATTTAAGAAACCAAACAAGACAAGCATTAATCATACTCTCTAATACTTTAACAGAGACAGCTAGTCAAAGCATTAGGTTGATAATTAAAAGTAATCTTGGGTTCCTTCCTCAGCTAAAATAAAATCACTACAACACAAAACCAATAAAATAGCCTACCAACTTCCAACTTACACACCTCATGAATATTTAAGTAGATATAACGATATTCTACTTTTTAAAGCTAGATCAATTAAGCTAGCCAGTATATACTACAACAGAACAACCAAACGAAATTCTCAAACTCAAGATTTTCCTAACCTTTTTACTACACCAGCCACCTGGCAGAAATATCTGTCTCCCGCTAACTTAATACAACAAGTAAACCAACCTACACAACTATAATTCATATAAATCAACTAATTACCACATGTTTATTAGATACATCCATATATCTATCATCATTATTACACTAATATGTCACTTCTTTTCAGCTTATCGGGCACTGGACAGGTACATTATTTGGCACCTGGCTAGTGAAAGTGGGTTTACTCTGGGTACTCCAGTTCCCCACATCAAAATCAACATCTTAGGATCTATAGATTCAAGCCCTAAAAGGTCCATCTCCTATTTAGCTTATTTTCTATTCTATTATAATTCAAAATTCAAACCTTTATATTGTTCACTTCAATCTTTAAATGTTTCATCATCCATTAGACTTAAACAACCCTTTTCAGTTAAGTGTTAACTAATTTTACTTGAGGTAAAATATCTGTTTATTCCAGACATCAGTGAACTCTTTCTGCATCTCCCGGCTCTCGTCATCAACTATACTACGTCTTTCACCACGACTGATGTCATCACCTTGTTTACCAACAAACCCACATGTTTCAAGCTCCTATACGTCATCTTACTCAACAAGCCAATCCACAACCACATCAAGCTCTGCTTCTCTTACTTCCTTCTTGTCTCCACAGTCACAGTTACAGTTTATCCTGATACCTCGCAGCAATCCCACTTCATAAGTTTCAACTTCAACTTTCATTTATCAAAACTCAGGGTTTAATCCCCTGCCTGTTAGTTAATATAACTATAATTGCATGCAAGGTGAAGAGAAAGAACTATTTCTGACAGCCCCAATTTGTCTCACAAGCCCCAAAGGGGCTTGAGAGATTTAACCTAAATACCTTCCAAGTCAAGTCAGTCTTTCTTGGCTTAAAACCTGGATTACACGTATTTAATCCTTCTATAACCAAATCTGGTTAAAAACAACCAGAACATCTCAAGATGCAGGAGAGAAATGAAACAGCATCTTATAATGAATATTATTTGGCCCTACCAATGTACAGACAGATGAATGAAGCGTGACTTTAAGTTCCACCACAGTAAACGGTTGATACTTTAGATTTGAAAAGAAGGTGGCAATCTTTGGAACTAGCAGAGGAAATAATAGTGGAAGTGAACTTAATCCAAGCTTCTTTTTGGCTTTGATGTCAGTCATGGACATAAGCCTGTTCAAATGTCATGTGATGAAAAGTGGTAAATCTGCAGAAGATATACCTGGCTTGTTTTGGAACCCTTTGTGCCTGTTGGTAGTCAGGATACCACTATGGGTGAAGATACTAGGTCAAACCCATTGAGTTTTTAGGGACTGATCTAACATCTTCCTGGAAAATACAATCAGTTACTGCCTTCACACAAGTGTTAACAGAGGAAAGGTCAGCAACAGCTGGATCAAGCACTGAGAGGAGAGAATGTCAACATATGCAACAGTGGAAGATGTTGCACTGTGGCACAAAATTCAAATTACCTTGACCACACTCTATCTCCCTCAGAATGACAGGGAAATGGTCACTACCTAAGAGAAGGGAAACAAATGTATAGAGCAATATAAGATATGTAATCCAATATTGTAGAGAAGAAGGTTGTGATACGAGAGTATATATTCCACAGATTGAACCTTTCCATCAAACATCTGCACCTCCCCAGTGGGTACTATGTTTGTTAAAGCCTCCAGAATTAAGAAGGGAAACACCAAGGTCTGCCTGATCAAAATCAAAACCTGGTGACTGGTAAAAAGAACAAAGTATGACCAATAGACACACAAATGGCAATGGCCACTATTGGTGTACTGTATGGCAAAGTCATGGTGGGTGCACGGCTGCCCCACCCACATGAACCACATCCATCATTCAATCTAATCTTTCATGTACGAGGAAAAATGTTGAATTGTGGCAGTATTGACAAGTCTCGGAGAACTCCTCTTGTAAGAAGATACACACATAATGATAAGAAATAATCAGTCTTAAAGTTATCTAAATCAGTACTAAAACCTCGACACTGTATCAAAGTAACCATTTTTACTTAGAAGGAGCAGAACTGGGTGGGGAGTCTTTTTGTTTTGAGTTATGAATACTGCATTTCTTATCACTTATGTGTAGTCTATTAACATCCATGGATTCTGCCCTGAATTTATGGGGCAGGTCCCTATCAAATAAATGTGATAGCAGTAAGTAGACTGTGATGGAATGATGGTTCTGAACCTATTGGCAGAAGGAAAGGGACCCAACCATTCACTGGTTTCAATACTAGGAAAAAAATATTAGTGTAGATGTTGACTTGTATAACAATCGTGGGGTTTGAATAAAAGAACATCCTAGTTATTCTATCACATATACAGGCAAACCCATTTCCTTTAGAGCATTCTTAGTGATTATTAAAAAAAATGTTGATTTAAAAAAGGGGGGGGGGTAGAGTGCATAAAAATTACAGAAACAAGATAGCAGCTCAAAATGAAAATGCAATCACAAACAAAGTAAACAAACAAGCTTAAGGTTTGATACATAGTGTTGACATTATTTCCTCAATCTACAAATCTCTATTTTGACTCCATGTCTAAAAACTGTAATACTTAGGGGAACCGCAATAGGGATTTGTAGCTTGAAGAGAAATATCAACACGGTATCTCAAATATTGTTTGTTTACTTTTTTTGCAATTGCATTTTCTTTTTAAACTATCTTGTTTCTGTATTTTTTGATGATCCCTATTCTTCCTTTTTAAATTAAAAAATTTTGACAATCTTGTTTTATCAGTTTTTTTTATGTCCATCATGGACATGAGTCTGTATAATAGCACAGTCTAATGTTTGTATAACATTTTAGAAATTTATGTAACATGGCCAAAATTGATTATGCAAGGGTAAAAAAAAAACTGTAATCCTGTCAGCAACATCGTGTCCAAGTGGGCAGGAACCCTACACCTAAACAAATGATACGCAACATCAATACAGTTGCAATAGTTAGTTAATAATCATTCTATAATCATTAAATTACATCCACAGCTTGCAAATATGAATGTAGTAGATTAGGAGGCTCCATATTGTAAACCACAGACTATATTAAAACAATTGGGTGTGAACAATTATACAGATGCTGTTACTTGGTAGGGAGTCACATAAGCTTAAAAGTACCCCAAACAATTGTGCAATGATGTATTAAGTAATATTGCCCAGGTTTTATTATAATATTCAAAGCCATTTTTACTGTAGGCTGGTGCAACAATACTAAATAATAATATAGAACAACAAATGGGTGATCCTATTATGAACCATAGGACTAATAAAATGTGTTACAAATGCAACATTTCCTTTCCAACTCCTGTTCCTTTTCTTTTGTTTCTCATAAATGGTGAACAATCTTTCAGGATAACCATTCAATTTTAAAACTTCCCAAAGATCGTCTCCATTAAATCACCAGGATTGTTATAAATACATCGAAGATTCGTTAATTGGCTAAAAATCATAGCCCTCTTCATGGCCCATTGGTAATGAAAAAGAAAATACAGTAGTAATGGCTTTTTTGAAGAATTTCTGAAAAGGTATTTTACCATTCAATATAGATGTAGAAATTTCTAAAAACTGCAAGTGCTCACAAGGTGAAGCATATTCAAAAGTAAACTTAAAGTCTTCATGAACCTGGCTTAAGAACTGATGAAACAGAATTAAGCTATTCAAACCATTATTCCAAATCCCATAAATATCAATAAAATGCAGCCAGAGGGCAGGAGACTGTTCACCATCAATTGTCCAGTTGCAGGTTGCTTTAGTCTCAATGGTATGCATGAAAACTACAGCAAAGGATACAGCCACCCTATTACCAATGGTTAATCCTTAATTTTGAAGGTACATTTGTTCTACATAAAACAAAATCCAGGATTTTCACTGGGTACTGGATGTTTCTCTTCATAAAACATGTTTACATTCTTCTGGACCAGCAATATTACTGCTGTTACAATAGCTGTAATGAGTTTATTCACAACAATTCAGCAACCTTGTAGTGAATTTCTTCAGTTTGAGACTACAAACATGTCATTATTAATTATATGCCAAACAAACAAAGTCCAGAAAGACACAATTACAGCTACATATTATCTTTAATAAGACAACTGTAAAAAGTTTAATTACCTCATTTTTCTCTGATGCTCCATCACACTTTTCTTC